GCAGTTTGCTGTGGTCACATTGGGTTTTTGTGTTATATAATGTAGTATATTATCGTGGTGTCACTTGCACAGGAAGCCTCTATACATCGTTACGTGTAGTTCAGATTATTAATGCTAATTCTTCTATAGATGATTTAGCTTTCCATTCAGAACTAGAAACATACTGCATGGTTGCCTGGGGCTCTGTGTTTCTGCCAATTTCCTTAGTGATGCTAGCATAGAGAAGCAGAAAGCACTGATTTAGGAAGTGTGTCAGTCCTTCCTAAGAACTTGTGCATAACTAATCCCGTAAAACCCATTGATCACTGACGCAAGCCTTTAGACATATCGAGATATCGATTACAGATTCTTAAAGATGCTTATTTAGCATACGGGGCTTTCCCTTTTAACTGCAGCTTAGCACATGACCTAAACAGAGGCCTATTTCCAGCCTATAAATGCTTCATTAAGACCTGACCCACATGAACACTGCTAATACTGGTACTCTCATGAAATCATATCAAAACCCAAGTTCTGAAGGTTCATTTTGGGCATCAGAATGGATGTAGGAAAGGCAATGCCAGTTGACCCACAAGTTCAGGCAGGCCCCAAAGTCAAGCTCTGCTGCAATCCCAGCAGATCAGCTGATCTCAGTGCCAGCCCACATCAGCTGATAGTTCAGCTGATACATTTCTATGAAGCCACACAGGGCACACTATTTAACCTTGTGTTAGCCTGCCCACAATTGCTGCACGTCTGTGGGTCACTTTGCAGTCCATCTTTCATTTCTGATTCATTGGATTAAAATCTAAAGGGTTTAGGTGAAGTCTCATGCATTATGTATGCATGTCTCTATAATCTCCAAATACATTATGTAATCCTAGAGTAAATTAACTGGTGTTATGAATAGTGCAAGTCCACCTAAAAAGGAACCAAGAGTTTCCCTTTGAGTGGGACCAGTTTGAAATTTTACTTTATCTCTGGTTTTGCAATTATTCTCACTTCTAATTGATTCGATTTAAGAAAAGCTCCTTTCTCTAAGATCCCAGAGGACTGACATTTTACATGTGTTTGCATGTCAGAGATTCCTTAACTTTAAAACGTAACTATAGATCATGATAACATCTTGTATCATGCCGTTTTCTGAGTGAGGACAGTCCAGTTATGTTGTATTGAAGTTTCACCAGTAGTGCAGACACAGATCCCACAATATTTATCTTAAAATGAAATTAAACAATATAATATAAAGAAGTAAGAATATCGCACTACATTTTTAAAAGAAGACTAACAATTAGATGAGCGTTGTTTATTGAAGCTCGCATATTCTGCATTCTTTCCAGCCGAAGTGGAACTCTAACACAACACTTTTATGCTGATTACAGAAAGTTAAACACTTGCATTAATAATTTTGTTGGCATTAGTAATTGAAGGAGAAAACTAATTTGGATTATTTTTTTTCTAAATCTCTAATTGGCAGTAAAGACTTTCTGATTCTGGTATTAGTGAATTAAACATACTGCCAAGGTATCAATGTCATTACTGCATGAAAAGAAAAATTACATGGTCACCAGATACCTGTATTTATGAAAAAAGTATTTAAATAATTGATGCAGCATCAGTAATTCTAAATAACGCATTGATCAATGTTGATTAGTCAAAAATTTCTAATTATTTAATACAAAAATAAAGTTAAAATACTATTTGCTAGTCTACAGTGTAATTCGAGAGTGGACTTAAAAATTAGCTCTCCCTCAAGAGTGACAAAAGAAAACAATAACACTGTGGACCAGTCACAGTTTCTTTATTAAGCTGTCCTCAAGTGAGATCCCCTAAGACAGCTAAAACCAGGAAGTAGAGTATTTGAATGATTTATATTGTGAAGTTGAAGTTCACTTCAATTCAGTTTAATTGCAGTCTTATTTACACGACGACACTTGCCTAAAAGCACTTTATAAGGTAAAGTAAAGACTCTATAACTCCTCCAAGATGTGTTAATCAATCTGGATAAAACTTGCTATATAAACTCCCTATGGGACCAGGATTATCAGTGTCTATACAGCAATATTTAGTGGAGCGTGTGTGTCTGTGATCAAGTGTTCATCAAACAGGTATTACAATGGTACTTGTAACTGATTACTTGGCTTTAAACATAAAATATGTAGCTTACAAGAACAATAAATATGTATTTATTATTCATTTTTCATCTCTTGTTGTTTATGAACAGCCATTTTTGCCAACTGATTACAGGCTACTTATTCAAGTGTGTGTTTGGGTTTATAAAAAGTAGCCTGCACTACTTTGTAAAAAGTGAAGCTGTCAGTGTTTTATTTTATTTCCAGAAGTCAATACCAATAGGGCTCTCCAGTTGCAGTCTTTTAAAATTGTTTTGTATCTTCATGATGTTTGCCTATCAATTTTTTTGCCTTGGAACAGTCAGTCTCCTATGTACGTTCTCCATCACTAGAACAAAGTCTTCATCTTAAATCGTTCGAAGAGGTAATCCTGTCCGATCCATTTTGCTATGTCTAGCTCTGTTGTTCTTTAGTGCTACGTCTGTACTTTGAAGCACTTAGTTGAAATATTGCACACCAGCTTCATCTGCACTCAGTGACTGTCCTTGTCATTGGAGGCTTTCGATATATGTGAGACTGAATAAAGTTGTTTTTTTTTTAAAATCAATTTCTTCTGACTTTTTATTCTCTCACCCACTCCCTTCTCTCACGTACACACACAAAAGTTGTCTCTGTTCTTCTGCTTCTTCCTCTCATCATATATCTTGCTATAAGTATGCTACACTTATTCAAGTATGTGCTCATCTTTTTCATCTATATTTGTCTTAATTTGAAAAAAAAACTATTTCATTCACTACATGTTGAATGTCAGTCTTACAATCAAATTGCAGCAGTGCTTTATATGTGAAATATGTAATAATTATATTTCCCGTAATATCAATCGATCGATCGATCGATATGGAACTTTTTGGATTGTATTAGAGATCAACTTCTATACCTGCTGCCAGTTAGAAGATTTTTTCCTTAAGTGGTAGTACAGGAATCAAGAACCAGTTTTTGTAGAGAACCAGTTCCCAGTAGTCTACTTCCGTGGAATTGTTAGTCGTCTTTGTTCCTGATCCAGTTTATCCCACTTACTTGCACTGACACAATCAGCTGATTTCAGTTTGTATGCTGGAGGAGAAAAATAGTGGCACATTCTACAGCTTGGATATGGATGTTTTATTTTTATTGCAGAAAAGGAAGAGAGGATGATGGTAAAGTGCAAACTGCATTCAGGACAGAAACAACTACATTATACTGCTAAGTCAACTTCGACTTTTTACAAGCACCTGTACAGACAAAATGCTAATGCTAAGTTAGCCAAGATCTCATAGTGACATTAAATCTGAGTGAATGCTGACCCCACCCCAGCAACCAGACCCTGAAGCACAACAGGAAACTAATGGATGAGCAGTCAGGCTGCAGCCTCTGTTTCTACCTGTTCACAGTTCTACAGCAGAATGACTGTTGAGATCACTTTGAAGTCTCTTTGTGCTGGTTTTCATCTTTCGGTGTGTGTTGTTGGCTTTATGTTCCTACCTAAATACTGAGAGAAAGATCATATGTGTGTCCTCATTAGGACAGGAATTTGTGTTAGTGTGTGAGATTTGACCACACAGCATCTAATTAATTTGCATGAATGTAATGTATTTGATATGCTGCTTGGAGATGATGGTGACTCTCATAGTTGCACCAGTGGGAACCCAATAAGAACTGATAATTAATCAAATTGATAAGCAATACAGATAATGCAATTGGAATCTCTAAATTCTTATCATTTCCCATTCCCAGTCCATGAACTGGAGGTTAAACTTAAGCTTATGTATTTAAGGACTAAAAATGCACAGCCAGCCAGAAAGGACATCAAAGATGACTGACCTGGCTTCTTTTTTACTACACCTTCCAGGACATTTCCAAATCTGAAAGAAACAGTTAGAGAATACTGCTCTTTGAACAGCATGGAAAGCTGTGCTTGCTAATTCAGAAAAAGAAGAGACTTCATGGATGGAAGGATTGTGGTAAAATAAAAATAAAAAAAAGTATCAAAAGGTATTTCTATAGCACATAAAATACAACAAAGTTGACCAAAGTGCTTCACAGTCGGTCAGAGCAATAGCATAAGACAAAATAAAAAAAAGAAACAGTTAAAAGGAGGGCAGAAAACAATATGACAATTGTTTGAAACAAAAACTAGCCATGACATAACATACTAGTTTGAATCAAAAGCCAGACTAAGATAATAAGTTTTAAGACGCAATTTAAAAGACTGGATGGACTCGGAGGAACGAATATAAGGAGGGAGGTTATTCCAGAGTCTGGGAGCTACGACAGCAAAGGCCCGATCACCTCTGGACTTCAGGCGAGACCTCGGTTGCGTCAGGAGCATTTGATTGGAAGATCTAAGTGCCTTATTAGGGATAATAAGGCACAGTTATTGAAGGGAACGAAGGGCAGTTATTGGTCACTGAATATTTATTATTTATATTTATTTTGAATTTTTTCTGAATTCACTAAAAATACTTTCAAGTTCCCTGCAACATAAATTGCAACAATTTGTAGATCAAGGAAGTGCAACTCAAAACGTATTTGCTTTTGGAACTGTACAGTGCATAAAAGGATCAAGTCCAGTTTTACCTTTTCACATTATGGTCTTATTAATAGTACAGTGACTCCCTGAGCTGTTCCTTTGTTTTAGATTTATGTCATGTTAGAAGTAACAAATATATTGCACATATGGCACATCTTCTCGTAACAAATGCCACAGATTCAAACAACTGGCAGAAACGTCTTAATAATTTTAGAAAATAATTAAACTTAACTTGATTCAGCACAGCACTTTAGGTGTTTTTCAGTGGTCCCAAATGCAGGGTAGCAAAACTCTAATTGAATCTAATCTAATCTAAGGTGTGCAACACTACACATAGGCACACGGAGTTGCTAACTCTCTTACCTTCTCTGTTGATCCAGGACTGAAGGTGCGTGAAGTGATGATCAACGTGTCACGCCAGCAGGTGGAAGATTTCCATGGCCCCGAGGACTACTGGTGTCTCTGTGTTGCCTGGAGCCACTTGGGCACATCCAAGAGTCGAAAGGCTACTGTTCGCATCGCTTGTGAGTTTGCAACTCTCCACTAAGATGTGAAAATTTAGGGCATGAATTTTCAAGTTTATGTAAAAGAGAAATGGTATAAAGACTCAAAGTTTTAACAGCAAACTTGTGACTTTAGTTTTGGCTTGCAATCTTGATTGCAAGATTGAATGAATTGATTGAATAAACATACAACATATTTTAGAGAAGATGTTCATTAAACACAAAAGAACTATAGATGATAACCAATCATGCATATATGACTCTCTCTTCCATTTTATCTCAAAATCAGTCCTTTTCCTATACTGCAGGGTACTTCATGATGCTATAGATGTCACCACATTTGGTCCATAAATATGATTTATACTTTTATTTTGAGGGCATCTCCTCCAATTTACACATCAAAGTGTGTGCTGGGGAGTGCTAGTGCATATGTGGAAAAGGGGCATAAAGGCTTTTCTGTCTCCAAAGGGAGCCATGTGAAGTTTGATAAATGCGATGATACTTGTGTCAGCATTGTTTGTGGGAGAAGACTGCAAGATTGAAAATGAAAAATAATCTGGGGGTGTGGAGTTAGAAGAAAGGGGATTTACTGGGGCTCATCTCTGCTTGAGGCTAGAGGATAAGGATATATTAGCTGCTACTACCTTAACACAATGAAACCTCTGAGCAAACTGCCAGTGGTACACAGGGTTTCTGGGTATTGTAGGCAAAAAGATATGTAAAGCTAAATCAATGGAGAACTCTTTAAATGGTTCTTGTAATGAGCTGCATGTTGACCCTGATAAGACCCATGGACTAAAACAAAGTTTACAAATATACAAACTACAGTGCACAAGTTCAGCTGAGAAATGTAAAGGCTTGAACCTGCACAGACATCCAGCTGTTTCTTTGTCACTAATAGATCAACGGATAAAAGAGAGATGACATAAAGTCCTCAAGCACATTGAATTATAGTATGACTAGCTCTCGGGTACTGGAAAAGTGATTTTTCCCCACATAGGTCTGTGTGATAGCTTTATAATGACATCAAATGACCACTCAGACCTCTCTGACATATGATTTACAGCATCTGTTCCCAACAAAGGACAACAACCCTGTTTCATTGGACCAAAATCTGTGACCATGGCAGCAAAAAAGTTTTTATCAAATAAATAATTAATTCCCACAAAATAATATTGTCTAACCAAGTGGGACGCTTTTTTTATTTACAGCTACTGGTGTCCAGCAACCAATACTGTTTTCAATTTTTAGAGCTCAAATCTGAAGGTGTGGAGTAAAAAAGACATGTATTTGGCAAGGTTCATGTCTACTTGACACTGCTATGCTGGTAGAGGTAATGCCAGGATAACGTGAACTTCTGATGGAATCGTGGGCTGTATTCAGAACAAGCATAATGGCACTCACAGTCCAAGTTATGAAGCCTCAAGCTGAGTGCTTTTAATGTTGGTATTTGTAAATGAGAAGGGACAAACAAGGAGTGGGCTTCACTGAGAAACTGACAAACCACACTCTGCTTTGTCCTGGTTTTTGAGACTAATTAGAACAGTAGTAGCTGAATTGCTCTGTGGGTAATAAGGGCTCCTTTTTCAAAGAAAGAGATTCCTTCATGCTAGCTTAGTGGCCCATTATGTTAGCAAACAAAATTATAACCTTCAATCAAAAGTGATCTATTTTTTTGTTAACACTGGTTAAAAAGCATAGAAACACAGAAAAACTGAGAGGTTCTGCTGAAAATGTACTTCCTTATCTTATAGTAAGACATTTCAGAGATTCACTGTGTAGTTAAAGGAGAGTTTCACTGGTCTGGCCCAACTCAGATCAAAGTTTGCTGTATGTAAAGTGACTCTGACATTGATTTATTTATGCAGGCATGTACTCCAAGGGTCTATATATTTAAAAAACAATACTAGTTAATACAGCATTATAATAACATGACCATGTTATAACAAAATATTTGTGTGTCTCATGTTTTATTCAAGTTTTTTTAACCTTTGGTCCATTTGCTTACTTTATCTAAAGCAGTCTCTGAAGAAAATGTTGCACACTCCAACTTCAAAGTTGTAGCGACCAGTTGTATTTAAATAATGCCATATAACAAATTAACAAAACTATCTGGCAAATGATTTACAGTGTCTGTCCCCAAAGAGAGCGGAGTGTACAGACAACAGAGCCCTCTCCTTGGACCAAACTGTGCGAGCGCAACAAGCTGATTTTATCTTGAATTTGATTTTTTTAGCAATGAAATAATCAATTCCCAACAAAATGCTCTCAAGTTAGACACAATCAGCTACTTTCAACCACTCCTGTCTGAGACCAATACTGCTGCTAGAGTTAGAGGTTACAGAATCTGTAAGCCAAGCGAAAGTCAAAATAAATTAAATACAGTAAGAAAGCAACGTATTTCTTTTGTCCTTTGAGAGAAAAAAGAATATGTTTGGCGAATGACAGTAACTGTCCAGCTCTTTATCTACTGAGATTTGGGTGTCACTGTGTTTGCAGTCATTTTACACTGAGTGTAGCTGCCAGCTGAACTGAGGTTTTGACTGCAGGCTCAACACCTTCCCTCCTGTATGTGGATCTTTTACATGCAAGCAACCTCTTGTGATCCCAAGGGTTCATAAAAACCCATTCATAACTGAAGTGAAAATTTCAAAGGCACATTCCTGCTTTATGTTTTAACTGGTTTTCAGTGAATAGCTGCAGCGCAATAAGCTATCAAAGGCAGTTTGGAAAATGGGCCGAATAGGATCTGTCACTATTGTATGCACATGAGTGCCCAGGATGATCATAGCAATCCTGCTCACTTCATCCATCCAGCATATCCTTCAAACCACCTTGTTAACAGATTACCCAGCACAGGGCCATTGGATCCTCTCTATCGTATACAGGCTACATTGGATTTTGAAGGTCGTGGTGTGCAGAGCCGGTGGGGCAAGCCTGCGTGTTAGCTGCTAAAGGGAATTGAGGCCAGTCTGACCGTGACACTTGACACCTGACAGCAGCCTCTTATCTCCCCATACAGACCTGAGGAAAAACTTTGAGCAGGACCCCCAGGGGAAGGAGGTGCCAATCAATGGGATGATCGTTCTGCACTGTCGTCCTCCGGAGGGAGTGCCCGCTGCAGAGGTAAGTCCGCTGCTCCTCAGCTCCGCCTGTCCCAAAAGAGAAGAAGCTTATACTCCCACTGAGCAGAAAACATACGCATCAGAGCGGATACTTATTCTGTGAGAGTAGCTCTGTGCCACTCAGAAAGTCGATTCTACCTTCAGCTCCACTTTCTCTGACCTTTAAGAGATTGATATAGTTGTGTTTAGAAACTAGTGATAAGTGCACATAAATATTTGGACACAAAGGCACTGATTTCAAAGTCAGCTAGACACCTCCTGATGAAGAGGATTCACAATATAGCTTTTAATCCAAACCTCTATCCACAATATTGTCAATAAGATCTACACATCAGCCTTTCACATGTTCTCTTAGCCATGCAAACCAGAAACATCTGGCTTCAAATGCAGAAGTGGGATGTTGCTCCCTGTCCTCCTGGATTCTGTTGTTTGATCTGTCAGCTTCTACTGCGTGCTCATAAAAGGGTTGATTGTGCCTTGCGGTTACTATATGGATATTCAGGATAGGGATTGCACCACTGCACCTAAGAAATTATTTACAAAGAACAGTGGATATTTTCACTTGTCTGTTATCTGGGTTGAGTTTATTTACATGCACATCGTGTCCTATTTTCTCCCTCAAAGTCTGTTCCTGGAGAGGCTCATATATCACAATTACCATGAGAAACTTCATTAGTTATGGCTTTGATATGATCGCAACCTCTGATCTTCCGCAGCTTTCATTAGTAAATCATAAGAAGACATATGCACCATACTCCAAGAGACAAAAGTAAATCTTTCTTTTCCATATAGCTCGAGTCTTTCTCAAACAAAACTGTCATATTGGTACCAACTGTGTTGTCTTTCTTTGTCAATAATGACATAGTTTGGTTTCTAGCGGACGTAAGTCTCATACAGCATTTATCCCTTCTAAAGCTGAGCAATTGCCAGTAGGGCCAAGAATACATTCAGGTTTTCAAGGGTAAGTTCATATCATACCTGTATATCATCTTTTTTCATAACTTTGAAAAATTAATCATATGTGATCTACCTGTGTTGTTGAATGTCCTCAGGTTTCCTAAAGATTGGATTTCATCCATATTACAAACTCCTGATCCACATTATTTGTTACATTTACTTCAGCATGCAGATTATCAACATGTTTTACTGACAGCAAAAAATCTCAAGACGCGGTCACAGCAGCAACTTGGCTTGATGTCTTATGCATTTCTTCATCACGTTAAACTTTCTTGACACAGTAATCAAAGTGAAACATATATATCTGCTAATTACTTTTTGTGAGTTTAAGCTCAAGAGCACATCACGACCGCGTAGGTGTTCTGATAAGATTTGATTATCTGTATTTATGCTATAATTAGATAGCACACTGACTGCCATCAGATCCTTGCTATGTAGGTGTGGTGTAATTACAGTTTTGTTTCCACCAAATGTCCACCAAAACCATAACCACTTATTAAGTTAGACCTTTTTTTTATTCTAAGCAGGTGCTTTTATCACAGATACAAGGCCTTGGCTTAATAATCAGCCCATCAGTCATAGTAGTTATTGTTGTGACCCATATATTTTTCCACCATGTTCTGTTTTGTGGTCCTCAGCTTCAGCTGACAAGTTTCCAGGTCCTCTAAGATCTGTCAGTATATGATACAGTGTTCTGGCTACAATGTTTGAGTAAAGGAGTAAATTCATGTCTTCAGAAACCTCCATTTTTTGGACAGGTTAAAGCTGATTACTGCAATAAAAGTCAATAACCTAGTAGACTATATTTGTTTAATCTTTTATTTTCTAGCATTTTATACATCATATTATTAAATTGTTATTTGAGAACATATTTCTGTTGTTTTCTGAGTTTCTGACTTTGTATACATAAATGTGGCCAGTAAAAGTAAGAGCATGTGAACATTTAGATAGATGGTGCAAGTCCCTGTCATCTTTTTGCTAACACTTAATTATAAGGGTTTAACTGTAACTGGATGTTTGTTTTTTAAAGTCTGTTACTTGATGACCCTGATAACAAGTCAGGTGAAGCCCAGGATCAGGTCTAGGTCAGATAACAGTCAGACAATATTGTTATAAAGTTTTTAAAGGACACCTATATGCTCTCTTGGATTTTTTGTCATATGTTCCGTTATACCAGTGAGCTCCAGCTCTGAAGATGTTTTTTTCTAATCTTGGCTCTTTATGATGTCAGTAAGAGCAGATTTCCCTGATATAGTCACCTCAGGTGTGCTCTAGATGCGAGCACAACAGTCGCACCCATACTCTTTCTTCTGAACCTTCTGTTTATGAGGGGCAACCAATCTGAACAAAGTTGCCTTAAAAGAAGTTGGGATGGAGTTGAAAAGGCTTGTTTTAAGGTGAGGATGAATAAGGGAACTGCACCAAGTGTCAGTATATCATAAAAAAGGATTATTTGAACTGTGTATCAAGCAGAGCTACTCTAATAGAGTGGAAAAAATTGGTTACACTGGTTACCTCTAAAGAGCATTTTGTTGTTATTATTATATTTTTTGCTTCAAGCATTTAAATCATGGTTAGAGCCAACTTAAATGGAGGCTCCCAGGGAGATGGAGGACACGTTTCATACACAGTGACCTGCAGTACTCACTCATCAGGGCAAATAGTGTTCAAATGTCACCAAATACACATTTGGCACCAAATGTCCATTCCTCTTATTTTTATGTAGACTTGCAATAATCAGCATGAACAATATATGTGTGACTGCTGTGTGCAGGAAACAGATTTAGGCAGAGGTCAGCTTCTGGCCCCGCACTGTCTAAATGATTCAACATGAAAATGGAGGAGTGATGTCATTTCAGTACTGCAGAACCCACGGCGTGGATAAAAATAGGTGAATCCGTGTGGCTCAGACCGAATCGCAATGTCCCATCTAGTCCTTTGTCAACACAAATGAGCCCGGCCACAAGAGATGGGAGTGAATAATGTAGGGAGCACAGGGCAGATATCTTCAGCCCAGTCGATTTCAGCGCACCTTGTCCATGAAATATTGAGATGGCGTCCGTGAGTGCGCTAGTATGAGGTTTCAGTGACTGCAGCTGCAGGATGGCTGCTGCTGTGGTAGGACCAATAGGATGCGAGAATGCAGTTTGAAGTGCGGCGCATAGGCTGTGTTTGGAAATCAACCTCGTCAGCAAGGATGTCAGTGTGAGCTAATGAGTCTCCAGTCACTCGCGGTGGAATCATTTTGCATTATGTGGTTACAACAGTTTATTTGGGCTGGAGTCTGACACTGAGCAGGAAGGTCTCCTGCACTCTGGAGATCTTTATTTGCACGAGGGAGGGGCCATGGCAGATGTCCTGTAGTCCACCTCCTTTTCTGTCATTTAGTTATTCCTCCTACTCTGTAACAGTCAGCATTGTTTGTCTTTTCTGTTTCTTTCATTTATGTACAGAAACCCCTCTAAAACCATGAATACATAATTATGTATGATGAAGAAAAGCACTGACCTGACATTAGTTTGGCTTTGTTAAGTAGTTATGAAAACATAATACAGCAGTGTCCTTTTTAATTGTGAAAACCTGTACAAAGACAGTTAAGTTCCTCTTTGAAAAGGTGCAGTAGGTCAAGTGGAAGATTAAAGTTGTTGCATCTAGGCTGACACTTGCGAGTAGGAGTGAGCACTTTTATATCTCTGGGGCTCAAAATTTGCATGTTAGACAACACAGTGCTTGCTGAAACTTTTGATTGGGGGAGCTTGTGTTGTGGCTGTGAACAGTCAGACAGGAAGCTCCGCTGACACAACGCAGTTTTACCTCTCTAGATCACTTTCTTTGGAAATATAGTGCGCACCCGAGTCTTTCTAGTTATTATTATTGCCATACTTCAGTCTAAATCAAATCTAATTCTGTAAGACAGAATTTATATATTTATTTTTATGCAAAAAATGCAAAAAAATTTTATGCAAAAAATAAATATATGGCGACCGTGGCTCAGGGGGTTGGGAAGCGTATCTGTAACCGGAAGGTCCCGGTTCGATCCCCGGGCTCTCTGTCCTGGTCGTTGTGTCCTTGGGCAAGACACTTTACCCTACCGCCTACTGGTGTTGGCCAGAGGGGCCGATGGCGCGATATGGCAGCCTCGCTTCTGTCAGTCTGCCCCAGGGCAGCTGTGGCTACAACTGTAGCTTGCCTCCACCAGTGTGTGAATGTGAGAGTGAATGAATAGTGGCATTGTAAAGCGCTTTGGGTGCCTTGAAAAGCGCTATATAAATCCAATCCATTATTATTATATTATCTTTATCTTTTGAGTAAAAAAAAAAATGTGATCAATGATCATACAAATGCATAATGTTAACTACAATCCTTTAAATCTCAGCAACTTGTGAGAAGTCAGCAAGTTTAAGTCTCTAATTAAGAAATTGTAGAAAACAGATAATGAGACACTGATACCTCCAGGTAGTGTTTGGTAAAATTAAATGTTGGCCTTAGAAGGAAAACGGTTCCTTTTCTTTCCCCAATTAAGAATATTCCCTTAACCATGAATACATTTAAAACTATTTTTATTTATTTATTTATTGTTTGTTTCCTTTAATGAGCTCTAACCTTTCAGACTTTCCACTGCATTTGAGGAGACAAAAACCTTCAGATGTGGCAGTGGTTATCACTAGGTGTAAACCTAGTGATAAAAATATAACTCCATGGAAGTTGTCTAACTGTGATTGGCACATTTTTACTAAGAGAAATAGGAGAATTGGGTGGTTTCTTTTCTTACAAAAACTCAACTTCTTTTACCTGCTTCTTAGAGCAGCCATGCCTGCACTTCAATCTTCTGCAGTATCTTCAAGTCACAGGTCTCCGGCACACTTCTGCACCATGTCCCACAACAACTGAAGCAAAAGTGAGGGTAGGAAACGTAAGAGTGCAATTTGTGACGCATGCCCCGACAACAGTGAAACCTGAGGTGGCAGACTTACACTCAAGAACACACTCAAAGAAAAAGAAACAGAACTTTCTAACAGGCTTTGTAGCACAATTTGAAATACT